ACTCTTTTTAAGATTTCTTCGCACGGTGGCTCAAGAAGGCAGGTTAGTGTGCTATATCACTTGTATTCCTGATTTTCCTGGCGGATTTTCTCCGAGAATTAGGTTTTCGCTATAGAACAGTGACGTCACAACCTTTGATATACTCGGAGTGGTCGCGCTATTTTCTGATTGGTCAATAGGGATCGGGAATTCTCTGCGAAGATTTACCGAAAACGCTCCTCGTTTTCTCGATCGAAATAAATTACCCTGATTGATGTTAAAAACGGACTGAATTATTCTCAAAAGGGCTGGGTTATAGTTCTAAGCTCTCACTAAATCAACCGAAACTTTAACCTGGGAATGGGGTAAATTTGGCTTAGTTTGTACGAGTCGTTTACATGACACGTTTTTCTTTAGATTTCATTCTGTCACTTTTTTTTGCAGGAAGCCCAACGACTTGGTAGAATTCTCCGAGCGAAGAAAGGTAGGTTTCAATTTGTGTCTTGTCCTAAACTGAAGGTTGCTGCTGACCTGTAATGGACCCCCATCCCATCCAGGTGTAATAGACAGAATCCTGGTCAGTAAATACTCGAAAATTCTTTACAAACTGGTATTAAACAGGGCTGTCATTAATTAAGTTTTGATTGACCTGTAACCTTAATCTTCATACCCGTAGCAAACTTGTTACTTCAATCATGGCTGAATTGTATCAACTACAGACAAGTTCACACATAACATCGGGGACCCATTAGGCATGCTCAGCCGTAACAGATGCTACGGGTTGCGGCCCTTATTGACAGCCCTGTGAAATGCCCACTGAATAGGTCCTTGCGAAGAAATGACTCTTGATTTTATGTGCTTGCAGTGGTACATATCCGTATATTCAATATGTNGCTTGCGAACGGCGATGAGCTTAACTTAAACCTGCCCGGCGAAATTTGCTCATCCTCTTTACTTTTTTTTTGTCATGAGGCTTTTTGGCACTTCCATAAATGATTGAGAAGAAAAAGAAATATAAGAAAATGGTGAACATTTTTGTATTTTAGTTTGCTACTTTTTCAACGCAAAATGAAACCGGTCTAGATGCCGGTCTAGATGGGAAAATCTAACCCGCGGTCAATATCGATTTCAGCCGATCAAATTCGTGAATTCGGTAGTTCCCAGTCCTTGTCAGACACAGCCATATAATAAAAACTGGTATTAAACAGGGCTGTCACTAATTAAGTTTTGATTCACCTGTAACCTTAATCTTCACACCTATACCAAACTTGTTACTTCAATCATGGCTGAATTGTATCAACTACAGGCAAGTTCACCCCTAACATCGAGGGCCCATTAGGCATGCTCAGCCGTGACAGGTGCTACGGGTTGCGGCCCTTATTGACAGCCCTGTGAAATGCCCACTGAATAGGTCCTTGCGAAGAAATGACTCTTGATTTTATGTGCTTGCAGTGGTACATATCCGTATATTCAATATGTTGGCCAACTATGCCCCTTCCTGCTAGCATATTGTTTGTAATACACATTTTCTTAGAGTGCATTATAAGTACGTGAAAGCATCACAAAACCATTCTGTTTTTGCGTTTCACTATTTTATTTTCCTTTTGGTTA